ACCTACTTCACCAATTTTCCACCAGTAGCCAGACAAATCTAAGTCCAAGTCACTCTTCTACTTAAAAGTCCTCCATTGAGTCTTCACTGCCTTCTATTACTATGTAGATTTCCTGAATGCCAATGAACTACCATTTTGTGCTTCCGGCCTGTCTGATCTGCTGCCATGCACTCTATGTGTCTAGATTTTTCAGTTCTCTCTAAGTGTACCTTGTCCTTTACCCGAAGGGCCTTGATTGTTGTGTTTCTTTCCTATGTCAGTTCTGATGTCAGTCTTTCTAATGAGTCCTTCCTGTGTATTCTGTGGTCTGACTTTAAGAAAACTGCCCTCGGGCTGGAGAGATAGCTCAGAGGTTAAGAGCACTGACTGCTCTTCCAGAGGTCCTGAGTTCAATTCCCAGCAACCACATGGTGGCTCACAACCATCTGTAATGAGATCCGGTGCCCTCCTGTGACCTGCAGGCATACATGCAGACAGAACACTGTATACATAATAAATAAATAATTAAAAAAAAAAAAAAGAAAACTGACCTCAGTGAAGAGTGAGGTGAAGTACAAAAGTATAGCCCCTGAGTGTTAGTTGAGGGTTAGGCTTATCAGTTCTTAACAGTATTCAGTCCAACAGTTTGGGCTTCTTAATGCTGTAAGCATTTTCCCCTTAGATTTGACTTGTGTGCTATCCCAACACATTGTAGTTGCAAAGAAGACAACTGTTTTATTTCTTTAAACTCAACCACAGAGAGCACCGAATACCAGCCCTATGAGACTGATGTTTCACTTTTTTGGATGGTGAGAGGTCTGCAGCATTGATTTGTTTTGAGGGCTGTGAAAGAATACTTGGTAACCCCCTCTTCCTGGCTGCCAGGATGTTACCTTCTGTGTCATCACACTCTTAGTGTCTCTGTGTTGATGCTTCCTTCTTATGATAACACCAGTCATATTGCATTAGAGTTCCCACGAGTTTCCTCAGTTTAACTTCATTGCTTCTGTGGAGAACCTACCTCCAATAAGGTTACAATTTCAGAAACTGAGTCAAGAATTCAGCCTAGAGAAAAGTATTGGTCTAGTTCCATTATGCTGCTGTGACAAAAGACTCTGACCAAAAGCAATTTGAGGAGGACAGGGATTATGTGGCTTACGCTTTCAGATCATAGTCCATCATTAAGGAAAGTTAGGGCGGGAACTTGAAGTAGAACCTATAGAGTAGTCGTAACCTCCCCAAATGCTGTCTCTTTAATACAGTTCCTCATGTTGTGGTGACCCCCCCCAACCATAAAATTATTTTTGTTGCTGCTTCCTAAGTGTAGTTTTGCTACTGTTATGAATTGTAATGTAAATGTCAGCTATGCAGGATATCTGATGTGCGACCCCTGGGGAAGATTGAGTACCACTGCCAGGGAGGAACCAGGCTACCTGACCTACTTTCTTTTCACATGTTCATGCTCAGTGAGCTTTTTCACATAGCCCAGGTCCACATGCTGAATGGTGATTTCCACAGTGGGCTGGGACCTGCATATCAGTCATATACAAGACAATCTCTTACAGACATGGCTGCAGGACAATCTGATCTTTGCAATCTCTCAGTTGATACTCTTTTAGATGATTTTTTGCTGTACCAGGTTGACAGCTGAAACCAGTTAGTACAAGTATCTGTCCATAATAGGGCTCCATAATTGATTTAATTATATGGTACTTAGTAACATAGAAAAATGAAAGAACAATAGGAGAAATTATTTATCTCATATATTATCTGTATTAGTTACTTTTCTCTTGCTGTGATAAAACACCATGACCAAGGCAACTTAAAAAAATAAAAAAAAGAATATTTTGGCTGTTTGTCCAGAGAGTTAGGGTCCATATTGGAAGGGATAGCTTGGCAGCAGGCAGCTAGTATGTTGGCGGGATCAGGAAGCAGAGCAAACTGGAAGTATGTGGAGCGTTTTACTTTTAAAGTGCACCTCCAGGAACATACGTCCTCCAGTGAGGCTCTGCCTCCTAAAGTTCCCCAAACAATGTCACCAGTTGGGGAGCCAAGTGCTCAAACGTCTGAAACTATAGATGATATTTCTTCTTTGAACCAACACAACCTATAAGCTATGTAACGCCTCTAAACTAAACAAGAAACTAGCTGTGCTTCCCCACATCAACATGTGCTGTATTTATACTGTTGTCTGTGAACTGTAGCAGGACTTTTCTTTGGGCCACTAGCTCATAAATAATGACACAGAGGCTTATTAATTATGAAAACCTTAGCTTTGGCTTGTTTTCAACTAGTTCTTACAACTTAAATTAACCCATTTATATTAATCTATGTTCTGCCATGTGGTTTATTCATCTTCATACTGCCCATTCGGCTTCCTCTGTGTGTGGCTGGTGACTCTGCCTTTTTTCTTCCGAGAGTTCTCTCTTTGTCCAGAAGTCCCGCCTATACCTCCTGTCTAGCTGTTGGCTGTTGAACTTTTTATTTTACCAATCACAGCAATGCATCTTCACACAGTGTATAAATATCCCACAACAGTGACCCATAGCAAACTCTAACAGAGCTGTGATTTAGCTAGGAAACTAATTAGTACCACTCTCCAGACTGGAAATTATCTTCAAGAGTTAACTGGCATGTATTGCAAGCAACCTTTTAGGGCAGAAATTTGACACTGCTAGAGGACAAACTTCAGCAATGGAGACTGTATATGTTTATCAATCCAGGAGTATATTAGAGGCAGATTTTAATATTCCTCTTGTTTTTATATTAATTAGGTAAACATGATGGAACTGATAGAATTTTCTTCTTTGCTCTTTATTAGCCAGGTCACATTTTAATTTCATATTGAGTTGGCCATAAAATGTTACATAAGCTAAACACAACACAATTATCCAGCTTAGGCAGTTTTCTGTACACACACACACACACACACACACACACACACACACACACACACACACTATTGTTTTCTCTTTCTCAGGTTTTCACCTGGGTTTTGGGTTTTGAACAGGATTTCAGCAAAATCTGTTTTTTGTTCTTGGAATATACTTTGCTGCTTTGTTTATCAAGAAGTAATTCCAGCTCCATAGTTAGGTTTTTTTGTTTGTTTGTTTTATTTTGTTGTTGTGATAGCCAAACAAAAGCCTATTCCATCATTTCTCTTCTATCACTAATCATTTTATTATCTATGGACAGAAATTATGCTAATTTCCCCTCTTAGGAGATGGATATTCTGCTGTCTCCAAAGGCTATTATTAGTGGATGACTCCTCCAACTGCTGTGTCTGTATAATAGACTTGTTGCTTCCATGCCAGCTTCTCCTGTTGGTCCCTCGGAGTGGATTTTTGCAGAGTGCTTGGACGCTCGTTCTGTCTGATGTCCTCGTTATTGCCTGTGAGGTCTGCTTTGACTGACAGCTGATGCACAGTGAGCAGCCCTTATTCTTACGCCTCAGTAGCTCTTGTGCCACAGGTTCCAACCTGGCAGGTGAAGCCAACAGCAGTGTCAACGATATGACTGCCTAGCATCCCAAAGTCATGTTCATTCAAATGAATTACAGTGATTTTGTTTTGCAATAAGAAAGCAAGATTGCAGAGTATTAGCCACTCGTTTTCCATGGTCTTCAGTTAAGTTTTAATATTATTAGGTTGGGTTTTTATTGACCTGCAGGTTGGTTGAATCACAAAAGAACCAGTACTAGTCCTAGTTGGTAATTTTTTTTCTACAATTTTCTCTTCTTATAAAAAAGTTTATTCTTTGAATGTTATTTATATATATATATGAATGTTATTTATATATATAAAATATTCATATATATATGAATGTTATATATATATATGAATGTTATATATATATATATATATATATATATATATGATGTATCTTAATTATATCTTACTCCTCTCTAGCTTCCCCTAGGACTTCTCACCTTATCTTCTCAATTTCATGTCCTTTTATAAAATTTATTTACTTATTCCATTGAGTTCTGTTAGTGCTGCCCACATGTGCACATTCACGGGGTCATCCACTGGGGAATGGGAAACCTTCTAGTGGCCACAGTCCTGAAAAAAGTGACCCTCTTGTCCCAACAGACATCAACTGTCAAGTCATCTACGGGTAGGATCTCAGGAGCCCCTCCCTGCTCCATGCTGGAAAATTTAACTGGTTTGATCTTGTGTAGATTAGTGCAGGCGCCTCCAGCTGCCATGAGTTCATGTGCGCAGGAGTCCCATCATGTGCAGAAGACAGGGTTTCACGTCATGTCTCCCCTCAACATTCAATCCTTCTGTCAAATGTTTAGTGTTAGTTGTGTATATATGTCTCTGTGTGGATTTATGCATATGAGTTCAGTGCTTACAGAATTCAGAAGAGCACATTGAATCCACTGGAGATGCAGTTACAGGCTGTTGTGAGTGACCTGATGTAGGTACTGGGTGCCGAACTTGCTTCTTCTGGCAGAACAGTACAACCTCTTAACCACTGAGCCACCTCTCCTGCCTCAACAAGTTCTGTTGTCATAAATATTTTTTTTAGGTTTATTTATTTTATTTTATATGTATTAATGTTTTACTTGCACATGTATATGTGTTTCATGTGTGTACCTGGTGCTCAGGGAGGCCACAGAAGGGTATCATGTCCCCTGGAACTGGAGTTATGCATGGTTGTAAGCCATCATGTAGGTGCTGGGAAATGAAGCTGGGTTTCAATTTTGCAAGAACAACAGTTGTTCTAAACCACCAAGCCACCTCTCCAGCCCCCAGCATTCCATTCTTGATGCATATAACTTTATTAACTATTTCTCAAGTCTCACAAGCAGGCTTATTTTGGACATTTTTGAGAACAGTGTACCTTAAAATATGAGTACACCTCCTCTTCTGAAGTACTATGTCATGAATAGTTTCCAGTTTCTCATTCTGTGTATGAATCTTTTGGAGAAGGGTGAGGACTTGAATTTAGGAGTGTAGGTGTTGAGCTGAGTAGTCCCTCTTATTTTATTTGCAAATATTTATTCTCTTTAAAAGGAACTAAATCAGGCTTGGCTTTGAAGAGGAGCTGGTGCAATTGGTTTTGTGTGCTGTTCAAGTTCTGCTGCAAGGAGCTGAGCAGAGAGCATGGGCGAGCTGGGAAGCCAGGACATGAATGCAGTGACATATGCTGACGTACATGTCAACTTCACTCAGGAAGAGTGGGCTTTGCTGGATCCTTCCCAGAAGAAGCTATACAAAGATGTGATGCTGGAGACCTACAGGAACCTCACTGCTATAGGCTACAGTTGGGAACATCATAATACTGAAAAATGTTTTCAGAGTTCTAGAAGATGTGGTAGGCATGAAAGAAATCATACTGGAGAGAAACTCTCTGAAAATACTGAATGTGTTAAGACCTTAGCATATCACAGTTATCTACAAATACATGAAAGTGCCTATACTGAAGATGAATGCAATCCATGTGATAAAGCCTTTGCATATTACAGTCATCTCCAAAGTCATAAAAGAACACATACTGAAGAGAAAACTTACAAATTTAATCACTGTGGTAAAATCTTTGCCCATCAGAACAATCTTCAAAGAACATATACTGGAGAGAAACCTTATGAATGTAGTCAGTGTGGTAAAGCCTTTGAATGTCAAAATAATCTCCAAAAACATAAAAGAACTCATACTGCAGAGAAACTCTATGAATGTAGTCATTGCAATAAATCTTTTGTATGTCAAAAGAATCTCCAAATACATAGAAGAACACATACTGGAGAGAAACCCTACAAATGCAACGAATGTAATAAAGGCTTTTCAGAACACAGTAAACTCCAAATACATAAAAGGACACATACTGGAGAGAAACCATACAAATGTAATCAATGTGATAAATCCTTTTCACAATATGGTCATCTTCAAAATCATAAAAGAACCCATACTGGAGAGAAACCCTATGAATGTAATCAGGATGGTAAAGGCATTGCAAATCCCAGTGGTCTTCAAAGACATAAAAGAGAACACACTGGAGAGAAGCCTTATGAATGTAATCAATGTGGTAAAGCCTTTGCACATCGCAGTGGTCTCCAAATACATAGAAGAACACATACTGGAGAGAAACCCTACAAATGTAATCAATGTAATAAAGGCTTTTCAGTACACAGTAAACTTCAAATACATAAAAGAACACACACTGGAGAGAAACCCTACAAATGTAATCAATGTGATAAAGCCTTTTCACAACGTGTTCATCTTCGAAATCATAAAAGAACCCATACTGGAGAGAAACCCTATAAATGTAATCTGTGTGGTAAAGCCTTTGCCTATCACAATGGTCTTCAAAGACATAAAAGAAGACACACTGGAGAGAAACCTTATGAATGTAGTCAGTGTGGTAAAGCCTTTGTATGTCAAAGTGGTCTCCACGTACATAAAAAAACACATTCCGGAGAGAAACCCTACAAATGTAGTCAATGTGATAAAGGCTTTTCAGAACACAGTAAACTTCAAATACATAAAAGAACACACACTGGAGAGAAACCTTATGAATGTAGTCAGTGTGGTAAAGCCTTTGGATGTCACCGTATTCTTCAAGTGCATATGAGAACTCATACTGGAGAGAAACCTTATGAATGTATTCAATGTGGTAAAGCCTTTGCACATCAGAATAGCCTCCGAATACATAAAAGAACACATACTGGAGAGAAACCCTATAAATGTAATCAATGCGATAAAGCCTTTGCTTGTCGACGTAGTCTCCAAATACATAAAAGTACACATACTGGAGAGAAACCTTATGAATGTAGTCATTGTGGTAAAGCCTTTGGACAGCGTAGTCATCTTCGAATACATAAAAGAACACACACTGGAGAGAAACCCTACAAATGTAATCAATGTGATAAAGCCTTTATATGTCCTAGTAACCTTCGATCTCATACCAGAATACATACTGGAGAGAAACCCTATGAATGTAATCAGTGTGGTAAAGCCTTTGCACATCAATATACTCTCCAAGTACATAGAAGAACACATACTGGAGAGAAACCCTATGAATGTAATCAATGTGGTAAAGCCTTTACATGTCATAGTCATCTTCGAATTCATAAAAGAACACATACTGCAGAGAAAACCCTATGAATGTAATCTGTGTGGCAAAGCCTTAGCATGTATCACTAGTCTTCAAAATCACAAGAAAAATCATACTGCATAGAAACCCAATAAATAAATGTCAGTATGGCAAAGTTTTGCAAGTCATGGTAGTCTTTATACAAGAGTAAAACTTTCAGTGTATAATTAGGCTGTTAAAGCCTATGCATATCACATTAATCTCTCTGAGAATCTAAAAAAAACACATACCAAAGAGAATCTGACTATAAAGGATTTGGTAAAATCTTTAACCAACATTTATATTCAGTTACACAAGATTATTGATTCTGGAGAAAAAAATCTGGCAATTGTCAACAATCTGTTCAAGTATTATGATGTCACTATTTTGTTGGTACCTGCAAACTCTCATAGACAAAAGACCTATTAATTTAAATTATAAATTAACCCTTTCAGATTTCATACTTCTCTTCATTCACAGGAAATAAACCCATGAGCAAGACTTTTTGGATATGTATTAGTACATTTTCTGTTGCCGTAGCAAAACGTAATATCTGAGTCAGCTCATGAAAAAATTTAATTTGGCCCTTGGTTCTAGAGAGATACAGGATCACTATGAAAGTGGTATGGCAACAATTGTCAGACATGGCTGGCTGCTAAAACAAGAAGCTAAGATCTTACATTCTCAACTGGCACCATGAAGCAGAGAGTAGGAGCTGGAAATGATGTATAGATGGAAACTCCCAGGCCTACCCCCAGTGACATATTTCTTCAGCAGAGCAACATTTCCTAAATCTTCCTAATACCATGAGCTGAGAAGGACTGATTTCTCTGACTTCAAGACTACCTACTGGCATTCGGTTACATTCTATTACATGAACCACTCCATGATGGAGAAAAATTTTGTTAGCCTTTAAAAGTTTCAATACCTGTGTTACAAGAATGAATGCTTAGAAGAGAAAAACACAAGAAAAAGTTTTGTTTAAAGTTTTCAATTATGTGATGTCAATGTGTCTTTGTGTGCACTCTAGTTCCCAAGAAGGTTAGACCCTGGGAGCTTCATGTAGCATGAATTACAGGAAGTTTTCAAAAACCTGAGTTTGGTCCTGGTAATGAACTTGTCTTAATTGCTCAGACATGTTTCTAGCCCTTTAAATATTTTAAAGCCTTTTTATATCATCTTGATGTCAGGAAATAGGGAAGAACTCATGCAAGAGGAGAAACCTTTTCATATAAATGATTTTGTAAAGAACTTAGACATCAGAGTTGTCTTCAAGTTTAAGAAAAAAACCTTAATTCATCAAAGCCTTGAAGACAGCAAATTACATACCACGTTCAGTCAAGACTGATGGTGGAGATCACTGTGTTGTGGTTTCTGTTTTGCAACATTTGAGGTACCTATTAAAGTGGGACAAATCTGTTTAGTCCTTTTATGGTCCTTATATTTCTCCTGTGGTTTTTGTTCATCTTTGATTGTGCTTTCACTTAGAGAGAGATATTTTTCTGCTGTAATGTATAGAATGTGATGCCCATCATCTAAGTAGTCCATTGTTTATTTAAATATCAGGCCATGTGTGATCATATTTTTCAAGTAAAGGTGTCTATGAAAGGGTGGTGGGTTTTTGTTTTTCATTTTTTCACAAATTCCCTTAAGATGTTGTTTGTTATCCATCCTAAGTTGTAATTAGTCTGCGATATATTTGAACTCATCATGATCCTTCTAAGTAGAAGCCCAAGGGCAGATGATATACCCCCAACATTTGCTGTTTTGTCAACATAGTTTGAAAATGTTAATGTTAAAATGTTTAACAGAAGAGAAACTTGTAAGAAATATTAAGTACCTTATGTGTGTATCCAAAACACATTTTCATCTCTTTGGAAGAGATATAAGGAGGTAGGATAATCAGCAATCAACTGTATATTTCACAGTATAACTTGATGTACTATGGATATGTATATATTATTTGAAGTTCAATACATCTTCATGTCCCCCTCAGTGATGCATTTGGCCCTTTAACTGGAAGTACTGCCTTCTAAGGGAATTATCCAGAGATGCCAGAATATCTAATGTCAATGAAACTTATGTTTTTTTTTGTTGTTGTTGTTCTTGTTTTTTTATCTAATATTAACCTTTGGCCTAATTTTTTCTTTGGCTTTCTGTATTGTTTAAAAAATTATTTTAAGAGCAGATGACAGAATAATACCCTAGTGCCCTTTTTAGAACATTGCTGTCCTATATATTGATTCTGGTAGCGGTTTTGTTTTGTTTTTCCCAGTGCTGAAGTCAGTTTACCTTTTGCACACCTTTCTGAACTGTTTTTCAGTTTTTATGCCAATTGCAAAACCTTTTAGGAAAATCAGTCAGCCACTTTATTTTTGCATGTATAGACTAGGTAAATATTAAATGCCCCTCACTCAAAGAGAACAGAATTTAAGAGAACTCTTGAGTAACGTTTGAAATTCAATTTTTCTGTCATCAATACCCATTTTGACATTTTTACCAGTCAACTTAAATTAAAGAGGTTATGTTACTCGATTATATAAATGAGTTTCCTGCTTCCCTTTACCACAGCATGGGATGACTTAGTGTGCTCAGTTCAGCTCTAGAGTACATATATGGAAGCCCCATACTACCATTCCACAAGCATTCTGCAGGATCCTGGTGGTGGGGTCTCCAAAGAGTAGTAGAAGCTTGGATGTGTCTCTAGATGGAGCTAGATCCTATTCCCATTCCTTAGCAGAGGGAAGAGATAGTAACAAGGTGCTGTGAAGTTTGAACACTTGTGTGAAAGTTAAGTCCTCAGGACCATTGTCCTGCCCATGACATGTCTAGACGTGTGTGAGTGCCATGCATGTGGGCTTTCTCTTAGTCTACTGTGCCCAGTGGACTGTCTCAGAATTCGTTGAGGTTAAGAAATCACATGCCCATCTTTCCAGTACCATGGTTCTTTTTACTTTATTACCTTCATTTTCAACCTTTAATATATAAATAAGGATTTCCATAAGGCTACAAGCCTTTTAGATAAGAATCTAACTATTAAAAAAAAAAGTTACCTTCCCTATCTGCTAAGGAGGGCTTAGAAAGATGACTAAGTCCTTTGAGATATTTCTATCTCAAGGATGAGAAATATCCACAGTTGACGTGAGTTGATTGTTTTCATGTTCACATCAATAACAGCAAGAGTTGCCGAAAGAGGGAACGCAAAAATGAGCAGACAGAAGAAAGGACAAAGGAATGAAAAGCCAACAGAATTCATGGTAAAAAATAAGTGACTGCTCTATACCTGCAGCATTCAAGTGAAGAAAACAGAAAAATGAAAATGAATTTTGGTCAGTATGATAGTCATTTGTCAGTATTATTGATCAATATGTATTAATATTATAACTTGACATAAACTGTACTCATGGTTCTTGTGTATCAGTGAGTCCCTTATTCAAATACACTAGTACTTAACTGTACTTATTTGGTATAGAATTTCTGTGATTTAGTTAGTTTTATACGTATCCCCAAAATGAGCATATCAGAAGCTTAGAGATGGTAAATGATTTGGCCTAAAGTCATGTGACTGTTGCTAAGTACTAATACTGACATTTGAACTTGGTCTGTCTTGCTATATGTAACACCATTACCCCTATAGCTAAAAACATGAGAGTGCTTTTCCGGTATCTAATATGGAGCTCCTATTTCACTCTAGATCTTTCTTATATTTATGCATATGAATATTTAAAGATTCTTTTCTTTTAATTTTATATATAGTGTTTTACTTGAGTATTTCTTCTGTGCCCCTTATGTATGCAATGCCCACAGAAGCCTGCAGAGAGTGTCAGAAGCCCTGGAGCTGGAGTTAGAGACAGTCATTAGCTTCCTTGTGGGTGTTGGGAACTGCACATGGGTCCAAGAGCTGTAAGTTGTCTTAACTGAGCCATCTCTCCAGCCCCACATGTGTGTATTTTAAAATACAGCGTGAGCACACAGAACAGCATGTACTCTGAGCCCCACATCCCTGGTGAGATATTGTGAGCTTACACCTATTCCATGTTGCTTTCCTCTCTTCAAAGGGGAAGGAGTTCAGTGGCATTTTTATTTTTATAAGGCAGGGTTTTTATTTTTGTCCATGTTTGTGTTATTAACATTTGGTCTTGATGGTGGGTCCTGCCTCTGCACTGTAGATGCTCGGAAACACTACTGGTATTAAGCTTCCAGGTGCACATGGCCACCATCTGCCAAAGTTTACTGACCCAGTACACGACCACTGCTCTGGTGCATTTATCTCATTTTTTAAAAAGCAGTAACAAATTGGGAGTTGCATATCAAGATAAGAACCTCAATGATCAGAGAAGTGGTGATAAGCGATCAATGTCTTCCTATCTCCTTCCTCCATCCAAAGGGACTGAAATCCTCTCTTAGCGCCTCCCCCACCCCCCACTACTTCTGGACTCTATCTGCCCTCAGTCCTCCAAAACCTCTACGGTTAATTTTGGTTAGTTAGTGGCTAGCTTTGCCCTCTGATTTGAAACAAACTTTATTGTCAGAATGTAATCAGACTATCACACAACACTGCTTTAAAGTCTATGTGAAGGGACCTTACTGCAAATGCAACCCCGCTGCCCAGTTTCTGTCTTTCATGTTAGAGATTTCAAGCCACTAAGGACTTAGCTCTTGTCTTACCAAAACCAGACAGGTGCTTTGCTGAGGTAACAAGTCCCAACTGGATCCACATAGCAATCTCTTTGCTCTCTAGGTCAGGTGTTCTCATGACTGCAGCTTGGAATTCTGGGTAGCTTCAGTGTTCCAGAAGCACATTCACATGCATATTCAATCACTGCAGCAGGGGAGGAGAACACAGGGAATCATGCATGCAGTTTTAAATGTACCCAGTGGGAAGCGGCACTTGTCACTTAAGCTCATTTATTAACATAAGCGAGTTGAGTGGGACATGTCTAAAGTTAGATTGGTCCTCCATCTTTGAAGGTAATCCCAAGAGATGCTGGTGAATATGAGTAATGTGCACCACAAAACTTAGTTAATTCCTGTATGATGTGATTCTGGAATTTGAAATACAGTATCTATTCCTTCATTCTGGAGAGAATGTATATGTGTAGAATAAGCTTATATGTGAATTAGATTATATAAATGTTGAATTATGATACATTCATTATGCTTGCTGGTTTGTGAAGTATTTACATTTTTGGTAGCATTTACATGTAAGATACAAGATTTTTTGATTAATGGCTATGATAAGCTTCATTTCTTTTTTTGTTCTTTCCATGTCTTTTGATAAGTTTTCATAATCTTTTTGGGTTAAATATACTTTTCATTGTCCTAGAGATTGTAAAAAAAAATTCTTATTTTTTACACCAGAATCATTTTCTTTCTGTTACTTTTCTTCTTGTCTGTTGCAAGTACAAATTTTTTTTTCCTTCACCTACATATCTTAATCTGAATGATTTAAGGACTTCACATATTTTGTTTCATCGAGTCTCTAGAGAAGCATTTCTCAGGATTTAAAATTTGAATAAGCAACATCACCCAGGAAATTGTTGGGTATTGGAAGTTCTCAACTTAGAGCTACAGAGTGAGAAAATTAGCTTGGGGCTCAGCCTTGAGCAATTTTAGACGTAGAATCATACTTGACAAAATAATGGCAATATTCTTTCTGTCTGTCTGTTTTTCTCTCTCCTGATAGCTGATATTTTTTAAAGAAAACTGATACTGCCCTCTCCCTTTAAGTTACCTGTCTTAGTCAGTGTTCTATTGCCGTGAAGAGACACCATGGAAAAACATTTAATTGTGCTGGCTTACTGTTACTGCTTTATTTAAAATGTTTATTTTAAACATAAAAAATTGAATATAAGATACACACCCGAGGTGGGTTACATGCTGTTGCAGAAAAACCCCAGCACCACTGCTTCTTGGCTCGTAAAAGCCCACCCCCTCTCTTGGCCATGTTCATCCCCAATGTAAACCCTGACCCTTGGACTAAAGCACTCTAATTGGCTAGAGGACTGATGACAGGATTCCCATGGCATTTCCCCCTTTTTGTGTAATTAAGTGGGAAAGGTTCTAACTCTAACATAGTAAAATTGTATATAATAAAAATTATTATCCATTATTGTCCAAATAGAAAGGAAAGGTAGTAACCTTAAAAAAGATGAAACTACATCCAGCAAGAATAATTATCAAGTAAAAAATACATTCTCAATGTCTAGTCCATAAGTAATTGGCAAATTCATAAAGTTTATTCCATTAACATTAAACATCCTTCTGAAGAGTTCAAAATTTTGTACCTAATATACCTTTTGCCAAGATTGGGGAAAACTGTAACTGTCTAGTCTTCAGCCCAATCAAAGACCTGAGAAGGAAATGACATTACCTGAGTAAACAGGAAGTGCAAATAAGCAACTTCAAAAATTATGAGAAATGATAGGAATAACTGGCTGCCTCAACAGTCACCAAAACTTTCTCTGCAACGTTGAGGCTTCCCTTTTTGGCCTGCAGGCCTAGAATATCTGATAGACTCTTTTAGAAGCAGGACATTTTGGAGTACTGTCCCATCCTGTCTTGGCAAATTTCAGCAGTCGACTTTCTTTGTGTCCTGCTTGTCCAGCTTGGACAGCATACTGTCATCGGTCAAGGCAAGGGCAGTTTCTTTTCCTAATGGCTAGCTTATGCCACAAAGAAAGCAAACTCTATATGGAGTTTCTTCGATGTCCATCATCTTTTTAAAGTAGTTCAATGTTACCAGGAGCAGTCATGTCTGAAGTTGAGAATAGTATAAGTTATGAAAATGTTTCATACTCTGTAGGTTTGAAGATTACCTATCTATCTGAAATGTATCTCTGTATATCTAGAAAACCTAACTAACATCACTATAAGGCCGTTAGATATGGGTGACTATTAACCTGTATTTCTTTATTATCCTAAATAGTTTTTAAGGACTAAAACTTCACATTGTGTAATTAGACGAGCTGTATAGGTAATACCTTAAACAAAAATAGAAGGAAAGGAACAGTGTAAGGACGATAACCTTAAACTTGTATCAATATACAAAAATCCATACCAGTGTAAAATATTTAAGACTAGTTGTTGCTTTTTTAAAAAAGTAGATTCAGCATCGCCTGGCGGTGGTGGCGCACGCCTTTAATCCCAGCACTCGGGAGGCAGAGGCAGGCGGATCTTTGAGTTTGAGGCCAGCCTGGGCTACCAAGTGAGATCCAGGACAGGCGCAAAACTACACAGAGAAACCCTGTCTCGAAAAACCAAAAAAAAAAGTAGATTCAATAATCTTCCTTTTTATCCTATCATATCTATCCCCCTTTCTTGTTGACCATATCCAATAACAACTTGTAACCAACCCCTCACCCACACATACACGATGACAAATATCCATAACCCAGTGAAAGACCAAAAACTATCCATCCTGCTTGGAGTTGTGGGTGTCATGTTCTTAAAATTGCTTCCTGTAGTCTAGGTGGGGAGGGGGTGATTGCATCTCTAGGGGACCTGAAAAAACAGAAACAATGGTCAAATCCTGGCAGAACATCATTTGAGAGTAGTGCATGGGGGTGGATTATCTCAGCTAGCCACCTTGGAATTGTCCTGATCAGTTTGTAGTCCAAAGATGATCTTTGGATAATGTTTATCAGATTAGTGGCATTATCACAGTCCAGGTAGAATCATCTTTGTGGGGCCCCATTATCCTTTTGGAGATTTCAGACATTGTTAGGAATGTTTATCATTCACTGTAGAAAACTTAAAGATACTAAATGCTATATGCTGTAAATCTCAGGGAGGGTAAAGGACCATGATATTTTTTTTTTTTTTTTTTTTTTTTTTTTTTTTTTTTTGGTTTTTCGAGACAGGGTTTCTCTGTGTAGCTTTGCGCCTTTCCTGGAACTCACTTGGTAGCCCAGGCTGGCCTGGAACTCACAGAGATCCGCCTGGCTCTGCCTCCCGAGTGCTGGGATTAAAGGCGTGCGCCACCACCGCCCGGCAGGACCATGATATATTAAATATATCTTGGATATCCAGGCATAATTCCTAAATATCTGTTTGAACTCAAGCCTGAAATCATGTATAGGAAGCTACATGAAACCTAAGGTTAGAATTAGTACTTTGTAATATCATTAATATAAAAACAAATTTCAAATTTTGAGATAGTACTTCAAAAACGTTTTAAGGATTTAAAATAAATTAGAGGGCTATGTTATTAGTGACAATATAATGGTCCCTAGATTTTGGTTTTCTTTTGTTCCATACCAGGTGGCTATTTTGATATGAGACAGAAACTTTGAATTTTCTTTTAACAAACATGGTTGGATTTAGAGAAGGAGCGAGCCAGACTCTAACTCCAAAGCCAGCTCTGGTTTTTAATTGAGTCAAGACTACATAAAGACCACCTGTTTAACATGTCTGTAGAGACCAGCAAAAATCGACATTTTGAAAGGTGTATGAAATTTTACCCTGTCGGGAGTGTTCTATACCATTAGGCAAGATTACTCCTTTTCTTGGTAATTTTTTCTGGAAGTGTCTTATCTTTTTTCGATGATTCATTTGTTCAAAGGTCTTTAGATTCCTCAATTAGATGTTTTCATTTTTCTGGAAAGACAATAACAAAACCCTGCCATGACCGTCATTTGGTGAGTTCTCCCTTTCATCAGGTTGAATTACCACATTGATTATCACCTCTCCTAATCAAGAGGTCTCTTCTGTTCAAATTGAATCAATTTTGATGACATCCATGACTTTTCTACTGTGAAAACAAAAGCAAACCTTTTCCGCAATGTAACACATATCCTGGTGTCCATTCTGAAGTCAGCACATCTTTAAAGTATATCAGCCGATTTAGTTCAGTTTTTTTCTATTATCCATCCAATGTCTTTCTGCAGCTGTTGTTCCCTTTTCATTAGCATTTAGAAAATTTAAAGTCAATAAAGCATTGTTCAATCTATGTTTAAGGGTTATTATTACCCTTTTTTGTTTATTAAGCATTTCTTTTAAAGTGCAATTAGATCTGCCTATAACAGCTTGTCCTGTAGGATTGTGTGGTATACCTGTAATATGTTTTATGTTGTAACATGCAAAAAGCTGTTTAGTTTTACTAGAGACATATGCTGGAGCATTGTAAGTCTTGTATAGGTATTCCCATGATGGCCATAACTTCTAATAGATGTATAATTACAGAATCTGCCCTTTCAGAACTCAAAGCAGTTGCCCATTGAAATTCTGGATACTTACATATGGCATGGTGTACATATTTTAATTTTCCATACTCAGCAAAATGAAACATCCATTTGCCAAATTTCATTTCTTTGAATACCCTTTGGGTTAATTCCTTAAGGTAGTGGAGTTTGGTTATACAAAGAACAAGTAGGACATTTCCTTGGCTTGTTGCCAAGTGATAGTTTGTTTTTCAAACCCTTGCTATTAACATGATGTTTCTTATGAATTTCTGAGGCTTCTAGTACATATCCTACTAATAGCTGGTCAATTTCATCATTCCCTTGTGATAGAGGACCTGATAGACCTGTATGTGATCTGATATGTGTTATTATATATATATATATATATATATATATATATATATATATATATATATATATATAGGATGATTCCTATTCCTGATTATTTTCTGTAATTGTATAAATAACAAAGTTAATTCTGAATCATCAGGAATAAGTTCAGTGGTTTAGAGATGTAAAAGAACTCTGTCTGCGTATTGAGAGTCAGTAACTATATTAAGAGGTTCTGAAAAATCTAATAATACCATGAGAATAGTATGTAATTCTGACTTTTGAACAGAATTATAAGGGCTTTGATCCACTTTACTTAAATTTTCTGATATATAGCTGCTTTTCCTGATTTATTTGCATCAGTATAGAATGTAGGTGCTCCAGATATTGATGTTCCCTGCACAATGTGAGAAAAGACCCAATTAGTTCTTTTTATAAATTGAAGTCTCTTACTTTTGGGGTATCACTTGCCAGTCTCTCCTAAAAAACTACTCTAAGCTCTTTGCCAATGTTCATTTTCTGTCCACAATGAGGAAATTTCCTCACTCGTAAAAGGTACTACGATTTCTGTTGAGTCCATTCCTGCTAATTGATGAAGTCTTAATTTTCCTTTCAAGATCAATTCAGAAACTTAAAAAAAATAGTATTGTCTCTTATATCCTTAAAAAAATTCAACTTTTCCTCATCAGATTAAAAGATTACTTGTACTTCATTAATACATGTTGTATGCAGATACTGAGATCTCAAGTTAGAGCAGTAGTAATTGTTGATCCCATTCATTCTTTTAGAATTCTACCAAATATCTGGCTGGGTAGCTGCCCTCGCCAACTAGAACATGTGACCATCAAACTGAAGCATGAATTAGGAATTACAGCTGTCATGAATTTCCAGACCGAGTGGGATATCATCCAGAATTCTTCAGGCTGTAACCGCTACCCTGAACCCATGACTCCAGACACCATGATGAAGCTGTACAAGGAAGAAGGCTTGGCCTACATCTGGATGCCCACACCAGACATGAGCACTGAGGGTGAGGGTCAGAAGAAGCAGTCTAGTTCTTTGCTGGACTTGTTTCAGAGACATGCTTATTGTCTATCTTTTAGTCATCTATAATTGAATGTGTTAAATATTAATTATAAAAATGGAATTAATTCAAGGGTTTGGAGTTAATATGTCTTTAGACACTTTGACAGGATTCTGTTTAACATGGATTCTTTAATTTTTTTATACTATGTATACTAAATATATACTTTATAATATATACATGTACTATAATATATATTTATTGTGTATCTACTGTGTGTGTGGCATTATGCTGGTGTCAGGGAACAAGGAGTGTATAGTCCCTGAGGGATGGCAAGTGTTAATGGAATGAACAAAAATAGGAGTTTGAAAGCATAATGGGTTAAAGAATCACACCTATTCTGCAGAGCTTGAGTAGATGATCTAGAAGTCCTTTTGAGGAAGTGGTGTTTGAGGTCATATCAAGGCAGTAACTGGTGAAAGGACAAGCTGGGAGAGAATGCAAGAAGGAACGATTTCAAGACTCTGCCTGAGGTGTGCGAAGAGGATGTGGCATGTTATGGACTGAGAGACCAGTGTGGCTGAGGAACTGAGGATGTGGAAGTACCACCAGGATTTGGGCTATAGTAAGAAGGTCAAACTGCTAGAGAGTAGCTACAGCAGGGGGAAGGATGAGAAACTGGAAAATGCCAAGGTTCTTCTTGCTTTAGTGTTTTCTTCAAAAGTCTACTTTCATGGCAGCGCGGACAGCTTGGAGCTGTGTCTGGCCCTCCAGTGAGGTGGGTGCCGTAAGATGGGTGATAATGTGAGAGACGAGGTGTGGGTGCTATGGGGAGGATGGTAGAGAGTCGTCACTGAAGGATCGAGCACCAGAGAGCAGTCTTTATGAATGGGTTACCATGGTTGGTTGCTGCTTGGGAAGCGGAGACAAATAAGTCACAGTTGTGACATAAGTAGATGCAGTAAGGCAATCTCAAAACAAATTACAGTGCAGGGGGGAGTGGACAATGAATAATATGATGTGCCCCGGGGGTTATGGCTTCCTTCTGAGGAGGGCAGGTAGGCAGGCTACATGAATTTTATGGCATTTGAAGCGGGCCTGGCTTGGACAGAGATAGCGCAGTGTGGGTCATAGACAAAGGCACAGAAGCTTGGAGTTCTAGCAGAGCCATATATACATATGATAGACAGTTGCTGAGTTAGGGGTAACTTTTTAGGTAAGAGAACCACATCCTGATGACAGTATTAACAGTGTGTCAGCAGAGGGCAGCAGAGAGCTGTAGAGAGTGCATCGGTTTGGGGAGGGAAGTGATTTGCTCTTCTGGGTGCCTCGCTAAGAAGCCAGAAAACATTTCTTCCCTCAGCTTTCTCTGTACCAGGTATGCTATGGCTCCAGCCCACTCATGATTGACATCCTTTAACTCACCAAGTTCTCAGAAGGTTCTAGGTAGACATTGTAGTCACCTCCGTTTTGCAGAGGGAGAGACAGGTACAAAAGGTTGTGTGTAGTGGGACCAGGTCTTCAGACTGGAAAGAGTCATGTCACAACCAGGTTTTGAGAGTGGCGGTCTGACTCACAACACTGCTCCCCAAGCCAGCCTGTGAAGCAGCAACGATGTGTTTCTTCGTACAACTCAGCCAGACTATACAGATGGACATGATTTCAATGCCTTGTGTTCATGATTAGCTAGAGTTATGCAGAGCTGAGAATTGAGGGTCATAGCTTATCTTCCCAACAACCAGTGGTCTGTAAAGAAGAACACCTTGAGGACCATAGGGAACCTGTGTCACTGGCCACCTTTGGCCCTTCAAAGATGTCAGCTGATCTTCCTGACCAGACAGTATCCCCTCTGTAGATTTGAACTATACCATCATTAAAGAGAGATATAATTTATGTTCCCTGAGGTGGGGAGAGATATTGGCACTTTTGTTATTTCTTTTAGTCTTCTGATCATATGAATCTTGGCTTAGTTTAAGAGCCCTGCCTTTTCTCAAGACTAACACCCAAACCAAATAGAATTCGCATCAGCTGAAAACTGGCTGGGTTTGCTCTGCACAGATGGGCTCTCTGGTTTTAAAACAGACACAGATTTGTTAGGACCCTTGTAGCCCACACAGAGACTTTGATTTGGCCTTTGTGGTTCTAATTTCACAGCATTGTTGCCCATCAGGGTAAATATGAGGGCAACGGGCAGGGAGCCATTGAGCTATTAATTCTAATTGCTGCTCACCCCTCTGCATCCCATGCTCTGCTAAATGAAGGGTCTGCTGACAAATAGGCAGTTTGTTCAGTAGTTTGGAGTCTATCCACTAGGACCCATTGGAGTTGTATTCGAAGAATTTTGGGGGTGTCACTGGTCACCAGGTTACTGCATCTAAGGCCAGCTCCCATGTAGAGCTAGCACAGCAACAGGGTGAGAGCAAGAAGCACCCTCTGGCACCCCCACCTGCAGCAGGACAAACTGACACTGAATAGAGTCTTCCTTTACTTCAGTTGAACCTGGAGAAGTGATCAAAGAGTTAACTCTTCCTGAGTGCCAGGGTGACGGTCTACCAACAGATTAGTCTATGGAGCTCACAGTTATAGACCAATGCACATACAGATTAATCCACTGGGATATTTTTAGAACTCCAGGGGGAGGGATGGGATCCGTCTGGAAGCATTCTGAGCTGCTGTGCACTGCCGTCAGGTTAAGTCTGCAAAGGAGAGTGTGCTAGACTCAATTGTCGCAGACCTGCTACAATCAATCGTCCTGCCCATACTCTCTGTTGTACATTTTGTCGTAAAAGGCTCAGACATCATCCTCTTCATTTCTTCTTTTGTAAAATGTGGTTTGTCTCTTTCACCTGGGAAATGAAAAATCTCTGAATTCCAGTACTTACCTTGGTGAAATAAACTGCATTTGCTCATTAGAACTCCCTTCTCAGGGGAAGTCAGACTCAGGGTTATCTCTGTTCCAGGAACAGCCTCTTCCCTTCCCAGTGAGCTCTAAGATTCCGGCTGTTGTTTAGTTACCACAGCCTCGGTCAGTCACTCTCTCATTCAGCAGGCTGAATTCATCTCTTTCTTTTTGCAGAGATACTGACCATGGGACCAGAAGCTGGGCAAGCTGGAGCTTTCTAGGCATTGAGTAGCTTGGAATATGGGCAGGTTAATTCCTGTATTAGATAGACACCCAAGGGTGGGAATCTCTACTAACTAGATTATAGTAGACTGTAGGATTAGTCACAAGTTTTTTTTTAAAATAGTTTATTAATTCATAAAATTAATTTTTTGAGAATTAGAATTTCATTAAACGGAAGTTTCATAAAACATATCTTGATCAGACTCACCCTGACTCCTCCCTGTAATTCCTCCCAGATGCACCTGCATGCACACCTTCAGCTTCTTCTACCCTTCCCACATTGTATTCTCTTTTGTTTATTTTGTGAATAACTCAAGGGGTCTGTTTTGTGCTGACCATATGGTGCAGGGCCATCCTCTGCAGCCTGGTCAACCTACAGGAGACATGCTTGTGAAGAAAACTGACTCTGCCTAGAAGCTGTCCTGGGCCCATAGCTCCTCAGTTAGGGGTGGGAGTTCTTTAAGTTTCTAGTGAAGGGTGTTACAGAGAAGATGGACTCTCATCTATACTATAGCTCAAAGGTGCAAAACAAGTCTGTCTAAGTAAAATAACAATGTGTACAGTTATATATTGCCCCTCCCCCCCAACCCCCACCCCCAGGGTAAGAAAGGAAAGATGTGCATGCATGGTGTGGATTTCTTTCTTGGTCAACCTTAGACAAAGCAAAGCATCCCCTAGGGGCTTCTGCCCTCCCTTATTTCAGGTCCTAAGGTGTCAGGTACTAAAAACGTCTTTTTTTTTTTTTTTCCTGTTAATAACCTTGGTTTGTTCGACACCTACTTCCCTTTTAGGAAGTGTTTAGTCATCCCAGACTTAGATTAGCCTGTAGCAGGTTTGGAACACCAGGTAGAACAGAGAAGTCTAATGGTGTCTCAGCTCAAACAAGCGGTGCTGCTTTGCTGTTGTTCCCTGTTTGGGTGTTAGTGAGGTATTTAATGATTGTTGAGCGAGCATCTACTCACAGCCAATGCTTGTTTTAAATTTCAAGGGGAGAAACACAGATGGTGGAGTGTTTTGGTTGACCTACATAAGGTTTGCAATTTTTTCAATTTAATTAGCAACATTTAAAAGCTAGAATATTTTCCATAAAAAAGAATCTGGGAGCTGGGGAGATGGCTAGTGGTTAAAAGCACATGTTGCTCCTGCATAGCACTCTTGTTTGGTTCCCAGCACCCACATAGTAGCTCACAACAGTCAGTCTGTAACAGTTTCAGGGGATCTGACACTCTCTTCTGGCTTCTATTGGTTCAAGGTACGAATTGGGTACACGTATAAACGTGGAGGCAAACACTCGTGCACATAAGATAACAAGTAAACCTTTAGAAAAATAATCTGATTTTTTTTTTTTACCTTACTGTTTAAAGGCTGGAAACTTATCAAATTAAGTTTCATGTGAAACACACACACACACACACACACACACACACACACACACACACACACACACGGAGGTGAAATGTAACTTTGTGTGCTTTGGTTGACACAGACTCTCTGGTACTCTGAGGACCCTGTTTTCATTCCTTGGTTTCTCAGGCTCTCTGCACTGTTAGAGCTGGGAAGACACTGAAGTCCCACAGGGTCACAGCAACATGGAGGGATTTTGAGAATCCAGACTGAGATGAGAGAAAGGGCCAGCAACCAGGGAGATTAGGAGGGAGCACGGAACGGAGTCTCGGCCAGAGGCGTTGGAGTCAGGTTGGCAGCATTTGAGTGGCCACTTCAGGGTTTCAATGGGCCAAGTCTCTGCCTTGGCTCCTTCATGTAAATATTGACGGTGACAGTCAGCACCTGTGGTAGGACACCCTCAGATACGCAGGATTCCATTCCTAACTCCTAAGCTGTGGACTTGCTTCTTTAGTTATTGAAAATAGAATTTTTCATACAATATACTTCATTATGGGCTCCCCTCCCCCACCTCCTTCTAAAGCCTTCCCGCCTCCCCACCCATCCAAATCCTCAACCTTTCTCTCTCTCCTTAGAAAACAAATAGGCATCTAAAAAATAAGATAAAGTAAAAACAAACCAGAATAGGACAAAAACAAACAGGAAAAAAATGGAGCAAAAAAAAAAAAGCACAAGAGGCACACACATTCACACACACAGCAGAGAGACACACACATTCACACACACAGCAGAGAGACACACACATTCACACACACAGCAGAGAGACACACACATTCACACACACAGCAGAGAGACACACACATTCACACACACAGAGAACCCATAAAAAGACAAAACTGGAAACTGTAATATATAAGCAAAAAATATGTAAGCTTAAAAAAAGCCCAAGCAAAGCATTCTCATTCCCCCCCCCCCCCCCCCGCCCTCTCTCTCACACACACACACACCCTCCCAAAATGACATTGAGTTAGGTGTTTTTTGTTGTTGTTGTTGTTGTTGTTGTTTTTTCCATCTACGACTGAGCATGAAGCCTGGCCTTACATATGGTCTGTATACCCTATGACATTCCACTGGAGAAAACTAATTTTTCCCATGGAAGCGGTTATCAGTTGGAGATCTGGGTTAGGGTTGTGGCATGTGTCCACTCTTCCTCTCAGAACTGGGACGGTATCTGGGTTAGACTTATGGAGGCCCTATGCCACAGTCTATGTGAGTTCATATGTGTGTCAGTTCTAGAAGACATTGTTTCTTGGGTGTTTTCCACCCCCATTGACTCTTACAATCTTCCTACCTCCTTTTCCACAGAGTTCCCTTAGCCCTGAAGGGTGGGATTTGATGAAGACATCCTGTTTTGGACTGGATGTTTCAAGGTCTCTCATTCTCTGCACAGTGTACAGTTATGGGTCTCTGCATTCATTCCCATCTATTGCAGAAGGGAGCCTCCCTGGATAATGGCTGAGCAAAGACACTGATCTATGAGTCTAAAGGAATGTCAGTGGGAATCATTTGATTGCTACATTCCTTAGCAGAAGAATGGTATTTTGTTTCCCCTCGGTCTGTGACCCCTGTAGTCTTAGGTCCTTGACCACCCAAGTAGTGTTGGGCATGGGTTCCATGTCATGGAGTGGGCTTTAAATCCAATTAGATGGCTGTTGGTGACTCCCACAACTTCTGTACCACTATTGCACCAGCGCATCCTGCAGGCAGGACACCATTGTAGATCCCAGGGTTTTCCTCTGGCTTGGTCTTTACCTGTCTCCTCTGTAGCCTGAAGAGTGCCTTCTAGTACCGTGACTGCTAGTCAGGAGGGGTGAAGGCTTTAGGTAGGCACCACCTGGACTTCTCTGTCTTCAGTGAGTTGGGTCTTCATCAATAGGGCCTTACTAGCAGTTTGTCGAGACTAACCAATCGCCTTGGTAATAGACTGGGTTGTTGGTGGGTTTCAGTGGAGCCCTTTGGCCAGCAACTCAATTCTATGGAGCCCATTCTTGGCATTGGCAGTTTCCTTTGCTGGTAAGAAATGTCTAGTTGGGCCTTTTTACTTGATAATTCCATTCAGATTTCCTTCAAATATGTACATATTTTAAGAAGCTTCTACTGTACTGTCAGTTTCCATATGACCCCTCAAATGGCCCTTAGGTTTGGCTCTCCCTCCCTGACCCTCCTTTATCCCCTTCCTTTCTTCCCTCCCCCTCCCTGTTTGATACTCCTATTCTAGTCCCCTCCCTATCCATCAGAGATATCTATTCTATTTTCCCTCCCTAGGGAGATCCTCCCTGTACCCCTAGTCCCTTCCTCCACACCTAACCTCTGTGGTTATACAGATTGTAGCCTGTTTAAAAAAGACTTAAGAGCTTACATCCATATATAAGAGAGTATGTACCATGTTTGTCTTTTTGGGCCTGGGTTGCCTCACTCAGGATGATTTTTTCCTAACTCCTTCCACTTACCAGTGAATTTTATGATGTTGTTCTTTTTTAACAGCTGAGTAATATTCTGTTGTATAAATGTACCACATTTTCTTTATCTATTCACTCACTGGCCAACATCTAGGCTGTTTCTGGTTTCTGTCTATTATAACTAGAGCAGCCATGAACACAACTCAGCAAGTGCCTCTCTTGTAGGATGGAGAGTCCTTTGGGTATATGCCCAAGAGTGGTGTAGCTGGATCCTAGGTTAGGTACTGGTCTGTTCCCAGCTTTCTGAGGAACCATCCCTGATTCCATAGCGGCTGTACAGTGTTCTTGCTTCTTGAATGATCTCCTGCAGATGGAAAGGAAAGGGGAAGTGTATTACATCACCTAGGCTGTTGGAGCAGAGCTGCCCTTTGGGAACATCTGTCTACAGAGTCCATCTGGATTGGTTCTGTGGAAGACACAGTCTGGCAGATTGGTTAGCTGAGGTTCTGAGCCCCACAACTCCCACTGCAAACAGCCACTCTGGTCTCTCTATGGATTGGACATTTGATTTAAAAAGTATATTTAAGGTATTCCTGTTAAATTCCTGCTGTGGCAACTGTTACAGGGAGCTTGTCCAAGGGGACTAGTGACAGAACGTAAAGAAGCCATGGTTCCTAGAATTATCAGGGGCATTCTTTTCATGCCAGAAACTGCTCACAGACTTCACTGTGATGGAGCAGATCACACCCTTCTTAGCATAGTCACTCCAGTGTACTCTGGATGCTTGCCGCCTCTGATCCCTTGAGACAAGTGGTGGATCCAACACACAGTCCTGTTACTGAGATTGCCAGGAGCAACCCACTGGCCCATGTGATGCTCTGGATATGGAGTGGTTCTGGGAGGGTCCCCTGTGTAACTGTGTGGCAGGCTACTCAGCTGAAACCAGAGGTGCAGATTGAGTGAAATTAACATCTGCGCCTCTGTGGAACATCATGGGAGCTGGTGTGTGCCTAATGTAGATGTTTTTAAGGACTGGTATCAGTGGGGAGAGAGAAGCGGGGGGAGGGAAGGAGGGAGGGAGGGAGGGGGAGAGAGAGAGAGAGAAACAGACAGACAGACAGACAGTTAGTTTGAGAGGTTGCCCTGTGTGCCCGCTCATACACATTTCTGTGAACACATTTCAGAAGTGCTGGGTGGTGCCTGTAGCTTTCCATCTCTTACTGAGAGGGGCTGACAGAAGTCAGGCAGGAAGACTGGAGTATCCTCATGGCTTTGCTGCAGGTTGCTTCTGTTTCAGGGCATGATAAGCCTGAAGTTAGGTAGGGGACTGAGGGGACCTTGGAGCCATGGTGAGCTCCTGTGAAAACTCCGCCTTCCTAGGCACTGGCTCCTGATTCCAAGGTCCTGACCTGGTCACTTCAGGGAGTTAGCACTTCTGAAGAGGATGCCCCAGGAGTGAAAGCCCCAGGGAGAATTCTCGGCTGCAGTGAAGATCTGCAGGTGAGGGAGGTGCTGCTCATCTCTTCAGGCATCCAACAGAAACCACAATATGGACACGAGATAGATGTTCTCTGTAGTCCTGAGATCCTCCTGGGACCATTGTGTCCTTCTCTATGATGTACAGAGAAACTAGAGAATGCCAATTTGTAAGTGTATCATTTAAATCCAGTAATTCTGGGTAGTCACCCTCTTTCATTCCCTTCTGAAGTAATTTATCATGATGCTGTCCACCAAAATACCAGGCAGATAAACACCCTCGCTAAATATCTCTGTAGCGAGAACCTCTGATCAGAAAGAATGGTCATCTCAGAACTCAGAGGCTGGTGGTTGGTTACTCCTCTACCCAGCAGGATGCAGGAGCTGTTGGGGCTCAACAGGACACAGCATACTTCTCAGGATGGGGAGACATTTGATCATCAGAATAGCAGCCAGAGGACAGTAGCAACTATGGTCACAACTCTCCAATAACATAGAAATCAAATCTGTGTCAGTAGTCACTGTAGTGTGGGAGCATAAATGATTGGGTATCCCACATGCACCAGCTCTAAGTTAGCCACTCAAGTACTTGAATGAAAATCAGCATACTAAACTCTGTTGTAAATTGCATATGTCTAATCAGTGAGTACGACTGAGTCGCTAACCCAGTGTGAACTAATTATGTGCTTTCCATTTGCTGGGAAGGACACTTAGGAGTAAGAGATTGAGGGAGTCAGGATTTATCAAGTTTTCTTTGAAACCCTCTAAAACCACTGCCAAATCCCTGTGAATGCTTCTAAAAAGATGTTAAAATCCTTTCTTCTGACCCCTGTCCCCCCAAAACGTGGTTGTTAACATTGTAGAGAAATTCACATCAATGGCGAAGCTGCTCAAAAAGCAGTAATATCCCTGGAATAGCTGGGGTCAAGTTCTGGTTCAGAACTGACTGTTGCCCCTGGGATGCTCTCCCCACCCTGGTATTCTCAGGTATTAAATTTGTTTCCCTTCTTTCAATGAAAACAATGAATGAAGCAAACTGTCACACCCCGTCTCCCCCGAGCCCAGGGTTCTGCTGCAGTGCACTGGTAGAATGTCTAGCTGTGACATGACAGCTTCTCTGTCCTCATAGGTTCTGTGCTTTCTCTCTCTAGGCCGAGTGCAGATGCTGCCACAGGCTGTGTGCCTCCTGCACGCCCTCCTGGAGAACGGACACACCGTGTATGTCCACTGCAACGCTGGGGTGGGCCGCTCCACAGCTGCAGTGTGCGGCTGGCTCCACTATGTGATCGGCTGGAGTCTGCGGAAGGTGCAGTACTTTGTCATGGCCAAGAGGCCTGCAGTCTACATTGATGAAGACGCCTTGGCCCAGGCACAGGAAGACTTCTTTCAGAAGTTTGGGAAGATTCACTCTTCCATATGCAGCTTATAGGTGACCAGCTTGCTTCTCGTAGTTGTCTTAATAAGGAACCAGAGGTGTGGTTAGTGGAAGGCCTATAGACAAAGACCCCATCGGAACTGAGGGGACCGAAGCCCTCAGGACCCCTGGGCATACCTTCTATTACAGCTTGGTAGGGCTTACCTTTGAAATATTTTACAAAGGCAACTGCGTGCCACATGAGAAAAATTCAAAGTCAGCTGGGCAGCGGTGCAATGGATGCCACAGTTGCTGCTGCATAGACTGTTATGGATTTGTGATGCTTTGGCATGCAGAAGACGAGAGTGGTTATGTGGATTTTATCATTACTGTGAGTCTCACATGCACACACACACACACACACACACACACACACACACACACACACACACACAGCATGTACACACGAGTACAAACACATACAACATTTTATTGACCTGAAATTATAGACATTTGCCAGTGGAAGGGAAAAGTATATAAACCTGAATATGATGCAGAAAGAACTTGCCATGGGCATAAAACAACAGTTTTCTATAATTTTCTTTATTCCATTTCATAGTTGTCAACATCTCTGAGGCACCTCCTTATTTTCCTGTCCTCCTCACATGACAGCAGAAGTAGTTAGCCCTCTGTTTCTTCTGGCCTATCTAATTGCTATTTTTTCCCCTCAAGACAGAGTTTGTACTACTCACTGTAGTATAACATAACACACAAAGGTCAGTCTTTAACTCATGGTGATCTTTCTGCCTCAGTCTCCCAAGAACTGGGATTATGGTGTATGCTTCCATACTCAGCACCACCGTTTTTCAATGGAGTCTTTTTGAGCATAGCTGACTTTCCCAAGTCTCATGGTAAGTAGGAACAAGTTGAAGTTTTTAATTCAATTTATCTGGCTCGGTGCTGCTTTCACTGCATTTAGTTTTTCAGCAGACTGTCATGGATGTAGCTTTGTCTGTCTCAGGTCACTATCCCTGCGGTTGTTTCTACAGTGAGAAATGGGACAATGTTCTGAACAATTCCCAAAGAATTTAGGAAAACCATTTTATTCTGTTCAACCTCCTTTAAGCTGTGGTTTGTGATCCCAAGGTCATGAGTGGAAGGAGCCTGAGGAGGGAGGCCATGTCCAGAGATCAGTGTTGGGCAGCTGGGGCCGACCCTCAATTCAGCATAACACACATTGCTGTTCCTCCCAGACATGTGGTTTATTCCATTAGGTTTTATCAGAAGTACAAATATCAGCAAAATTTTGCCTCCCAAGATATAAAATGTAGAAACAGTTCTTGGTTCCATCCTCGGGAAGACAGTCCCCAACTGACATATTAGGACACAGAAGGGGACTTATCTTTAGTTGAGTGCCACTGTGTGCCAGTTGATTTCCTATGTCTAATGCCATCACAGTTCACTCTGGGATGGGTTATTGTGTCTGTTTAGATGGGGAAGTGAGGCCCAGAGAGACGAAAACACGTGTCGACTGCCATTGTTGTCGATGGAGGCCATGAGATGAGATGCAAAGCTAGGTTCGTCTCTCAGATCCCATACCATCAAAAGTTAAAGTGTGATATTTAAATGTGCTTCTCTTCCTTATTTTAGAAACATGTTAATAGATGGCAGAGATGGTGATTTGGGAGGCAGAGGGGACAAGAAGGCCACAGCCTGAGTTCCAGTAGTTTTCACAATAGAGAGAGATGTCTCAGAATGAAGGCACTCAGAGGAGGTAGCAAAAGAGGGAGAGAGAGAGGGAGGGAGGGAGGGAGAAAGGGAGGGAGGGAGAGAGAGAGAGATAGAGAGAGAGAGATGTTTCAACATGATAGACACCCAGAGGAGGTGGCATTTGTTTTGAATAGAGTACCCTACACGAAACATTTCTCCTACAGTTACAAAGTTAAGTCTAAAAACCAGTATTGAGGGATACCCGGCCTCTCCTACAAAGTATAGCTAGATGCAGCACCTATGTCTAAGACCCAATTTATAATCACAATGTATTAGGTAAAGTTTAATTTTTAAATGGGATATTTTAAACAAATATAATGTGTGTGTGTGTGTGTGTGTGACTTAATGTCTTAAGAAATCCAGCTGTACAAATTCCACTGTACAATGGCCCTTTCCAGGCGGCTTTTTATCTGTGCCTCAGATGAAATTGTTTAGAACTACAGATGAACGTTTTAGAATGACCCCACTTGCCCTCAGTGAGTGGGTTGTCTAATGTATCTCAAAAATCACCTGGGAGCTTTGCTAAATAAAAGCATAAAAAAAGACCTTTGTGCCACAAAATTGTTTAATGCTGTCAACTTGCTCTGAAATCTAGAAAAACACGTTTTTTTTTTAATTTGTAAAATGGGCATTGGGCTCACCAAATTGCTTTTTCGTTTTTGTTCGTGCTCATTAACCTGTGAGAAGGGGTGGCTGACGGACGTCTGAGATGGAAGAAGTGAAGGTGGCACTCGAGAATGTCTTGGAGAAGACCATGGAAGATGCTGTCTCAAGTGACTCTCATTGAACACTTTTTTTTGGGTATAGATATGTGTGAGGTGCATGGATAGAACCCAGGGCTTCACAAATGCTAAAATACTCTGAACACTGAATTATACCTCCAGACCAACAAAACCTCACTCAAAGGATTCTCACAGGAAATTCTAAGAAGATCTCTTACTTGGTGAAAGAGCACCAAGGTACCAAGATACTGTTACTGTCTTTTAGACTCCAAATACGTCTTTCTTTTATTTTGCGGGCCAAAATTGGTAAAAAGGAAAAAAAATTAGCAAAACATAAAAAAATATATATATATTCTCTTTGTCCACTTGGCTTGTCCTAAAAAACAAAAATGTTGACGAAAAAATGTAGTTAAGAGTTTGGGGCCAGGCAGTGGTGGCACACACCTTTAATCCCAGCACTCGGGAGGTAGAGCCAGGTGGATCTCTGTGTTTGGTGCAGCCGGGTCTATAGAGCAGGCTCCAGGACAGGCACCAAAACTACACAGAGAAACCCTGTCTCAAACAAAACAAAACAAAAAACAAAACGAGTTTGGGAATGAGAAGGAAAAAATGAAATGAGACTCAAAAGTGAACTAGATGGGAATTAGAACTCTCCATACACTGCAACAGAGGCAAGACAGAAAGTTAAAATCACAATTCCCTTTAAAGGTAATCACATGCAGTTCCTTTAGAGGAGAAAGAGCCAAAACACCATACCACAATGCAAAGTGTTGTAACTGAGGGCCAGAGCAGATGGTTAAGGCAGGAACACAGGTAAGTGATTATGGTGTGGAGGAGTAGAGAAGACTTAGTGCAAACGAGATCAAACAGTATAGAGGGGAAGACTTGATGGAAGGATTAATGAAAAGTGGGGTAAGCAGAAGGAAAAGCAGTGCGCAAAAGCAAAGCTAAGTTTTACTCCTGTCTTAGTTTCTATTGCTATGGAGAGACAGCATGGCCAAGGCAATGGGTTCAGAGGGTTAGGGTCCGTGACCGTCATGGTGGGAAGCATGGCAGACATGGTGCTGGAGTAGTAGCTGAGAGCTTGTATCTCAAAGTTGGGGGCAGAGAGAGAGAGACAGAGACAGACAGACAACTGGGAATGGCACGGGCTTTTGAAACTTCAAAGCCCACCCCCAGTTACACACTTCCTCCAATAAGGCCACACCTGCTGATCCTTCCCAAGCAGTTGTACCAACTGGGAACCCAATATTCAACTATATGCATCTATGGGGACATTCTCATTCACACCACAACAAAATTTCTAAAAAGGAGGGAGGAGAGTGCTTTCAGAAGGAGTCAAGAAGATGGTGCAACAATGGAAGTGAATGGAGAGCCAAGTTCTGTGCTCAAGAGACCAGCTAAGCATGCAGCGACTTCTCTGAGGCAAAAGATCCCATTTAGAAGAATCAGCACTAAGTAATGTTTCGAATCAACAGTGGGAACAGTATACATTTTTTATCACCCACTAGAAAAGGAAAGCAAGTCTGAAAGGGCAAGCCTAAGAGTAGAGGAAGAAATTGGTGAAGCTCCTTCTGTATAAAAATAAGGACAGTACTAAAGGGAAGAGGAAGGGCATAAATGGATCTGTTCCTTTGTTCCCTAAACGATTAGAGCAAAAGTCTTTTCAATCTATTTCATGGATATGTATGTCTGCCTTTCATTGCTGTGACATAATGCTTGAGGCTACTTTGGCTAATGAATAAAGAAGAAGACTTTTGTCTCATGATTCTGGAGCCTTGGAAGTCCAAAACCGTGATTACAAGATCTGCTTGGCTCCTGATGGGGTTTGTGGCACTTCAACTCATGAAAAATGGACAAATGGTCTCAGGTGAGACTGAAATTGGAGTCATGCTAGCTAAACCATTCCTACAAGAGAGATATTTACCATCCACGAGGGCTCTGACCCCACCTCCCAACACTGATATAGCAAGGAATTAAGATTTCTGTACTTGATCTTCCAGGGGACACAACGAGCAGTAGGTTTGTACCCAAGCCCTGTTTGGCTCCTCTTCCTCTCAACCATCACATTTGATCCATCAGGATGGCATGTCATATCTCTGGTATAAATACCCTGACTCCTTTACCAAACAGCTCCTCAGAGACAGTCTGGCCACATTGTTGGGTTTCAAGAATAGATGTCTGTATGCAGTCCTTGATTCTGTCACTTCCCTCTCCCACACCCATCAAATCCACGTAGTGGACTGTGAGATGTCAGATTTGTGCCTAAATTCCAATGACACTGAAGGTAAACATCAAAACTTCCACAGGCCCACACAATCTATATCCCTGACATTCTTCTGACCTGACTTGCTGCTATCTTGTAAGTTATTTGCTCTGCTCCAATCATGGTTTCTTGCTTTTCTTGGAATATTCTGGGCAGGTTTCAAACTCAGAACTCTTAGACTTACTGTTATCCTGATTGTGCTGTTGTTAGGTTGTGGTTTGTCTCTCAGATTTTTACATGCTGGAAACATGGTCCTCTGGGTGGCTATGTGGAGAGCATTGGAACCTTTAGGCAGTGGACACTATTGGCAGGTAATTAGATCATTTATGTCAATGCCTTCAGGAAAGACTTAGTGTAATTCTCGTGGGACCCTAGTTGGTCTTCATGTGAGTGTTGTAGGGCAAGGCCCCTGATGCTCTGGCATCATTTGCACCCTGCCATTCTCCTTATCTCTCTTCTACCATGTGTGACAGAATGATGTGAATCTTCTCCAGAGATTGAATCTTTTGGCCCCTCTGATCTGGAACATTCGGCTTCTGAAACTGAGGTAAACAAGTTTGTTTTAATTGTGAAGCACCCAGCCTCCGGAGTTCTGTTCCAACAACAGAAAACAGATAAGTACATATAGGGATGCTTTCTCCAGATGTACACTTCCCTCCATGATGCCTACTAGGACCACTTATTTAAAACACCTTGACTGGATTTGCCTCTCCTGTCCCATAGTCACTGCTTTACTTCTCTTTAGAGAACTTACGGTGGGATAATATAATACAAGATTTATCTACTCATTGTGTTGTCTGCGTCTTACCATGATGTAGACTTCATAGAGTCAGAAATTGATACCTTTTGCTGAAGTACTTAGGGTTACAGAACTTGGCACATAGTACAACAGAGATGGATGACAACAGTAATGATTGCAAAGCATACAATGCTACAAACATTGTTCTCTAAGGCTACACACACACACACACACACACACACACACACACACACACATACACACATACACACACACCCCTACCTTTGATACAAACTCTAGGCATACGATGTGTGCCAGTTTGCTAGAGTGGCTATAACAATGTACCTCAGACTTGGTGTCTTCAACAACAGAAATGTATCTTTTGATGATTTTAGAATATCAAGCACAGAATGTCAGCAGGGTTGGTTTTTCTGAGGACTGAGAGGCCATATTCCACATCTCCTTCCCTTCCAGAAATTTCTGACATATTTTTGGTTTGCAGAGGAAGCATCATCTTGTTCTCAGACCTCCTCTTCACTCAGTATATGCCATACGCAGGAGTCCATGTTCAAATATTTTGGTTTTTATTATTTGTGTATGAATGCACATGGATCTGCATGCATATGTTGAAGTCAGAGAATAACATATTTTTAGGTGCTATCCACCTTTAAAAAAACATTTAGAAACCACCACTGTTTTGGTCCTTGCCAAGTAGGCTAGGCTGGCTTCCAGGGAACCCCAAATATATGTCACTTTTCCCCTCCACAGTGGTGAGCTAATGAATGCATGCCACATACTCAGGGTTTTAAAAAAAACTGCATTTGGGGATTAAGCTCCTGTACTTGCACTTTTACTTTACTGACTGAGCTGTCTCCGTGACAACCAAAACAAGGACATCAATCATGTCAGAGTACCACCTTCATTGTGACATCATCTTAACTGCACTTATAATGGCCTCCTTTTCTAATAGGTTTACAATTTGAAAGGAGGTTGTTACATGTTAATTTGGAGGGGATGTACATAATTCAATCTGTAAGAGTATGAAAACTACCTAGAGACAAGAAGAGAGAGAAGTAAAACCCAGGAAAATTGGGAGTAGATGTTAAAAAGAGTTGAGAAAGGGGTGGATTTTCCCATTTTCACAGATCTGTCACTTGAGAGTATTACTGAAAAATGGAGGCAGAAATTTGGATCTGTTGAAACACAAGACGGGATGGATTCTTGTGCTGTAGTTATGCTAGGTCACATATCAATTTTATTAAAGGAAATATTTAAAAGCCAAGGTGCTGTCATTAAAGCCCAATGTGCATTAATGTTGTAAACAGGAGATATGAAACCAGAGGCTGAAGACATTGATAAGTAGTGAAGAGCAGTGTTTGCTCTTACAAAGGACCTGGGTTGGATTTGAAGTTCACATAGTGCCCCAGAACTATTATAACTCTAGCTCCAGGGGATCCAACACCCTCTTTTGCCCCCCTTAAATACTGCATACATATGGTATACATATATACATACATACATACAGACAGACAAGACACCTATACATATAAAATAAAAAATGAATCTTTAAAAAGATAAACAAAAAGTTTCCAGAACATGGAAAGCTCCTTAACATTGGTCTCAGCCATGAACTTTTTTTTTTCATTTTTCTTTATTAAGCTTTTGCTTAACATACAGGGTGATGTAATATACACTGTTGGCTTACATGTTGAGAAAAGAGAGAATGTCCTGTATGTTCTTGGGTAAAGTTTGTCTTTGGGGATGAAGAGACCCTAAAAAATAGAATTTCCCTTATTCTACAACAGGAGCATAAATACCAGATTATAGTTTCAGATGCACAGACTATGCATCTGCCTGTGTGTTGATTTGATTGATGCATTGCCACAGTTAGCAGGTATGAACTAGAATTCTGGCTTCCATTCCAAGCTTCCTCCAGAACAAAGTTTTTCCAGCCTCAAGAGTCAGGTTTTCTTCTGACTAATCCAGAAGTTTGCCTCATCACACCCTCTCCATAATTTCTCTTAAGATCAACAGAACAAACATTCTGATGTGTCCCCTGACCCCCACTCCTCCTTTGTCTATTCTACTGACCAAATTAAACCAAACATACAAAAAATCCCAAACATGGACAGGCTTCAGGAAATCGTAAGTAAAAGCCATAGCCAAAATTAAGCACACTAGTTGTGGACTTCAGGTGTCTGAGGAGTGGAATTCTCCATCCCAGAAAGCAGTCAGTATTGTTATTATTTATTGAAGTTAATGCCTAATTTTGATCATTTTTTCTATATTATATCATTTTCTCCAAGAGCCATACAATTTTGTTGATTTGTTTCTTAAAAATATTTCTACTCTGTACACATAGGGTATTTTTAATGTTATTAGTTTATTAAATCTGTGGTTTCAAAATGGAAGAAACAGCTGGTATGGGATCATTATATATTTAAAAACATTAACTGAAGGAGCTTTGTATATAGTCATTAGGAAGTAGTAATTATAATTGTATAGACAAAATTTGTTTCATCGTCTGGGTGCTTAAATAGTTCTGTATCTATGGGAAGAATAATAATGGATACAAAACAAACAAGTCTCTGGAGAGTGGCTTTAAGTTGTCACTGGGCAAATATCTTAGTTTAATTAGAGGTGTTTAATAATATTCTTTGTCTAGAAATTACTTTCACCAAAATATTTTTGTCAATATAAAATATATTTTAACCCTCAATAGTCCTTTTTCTTTTCAGATCAAAGAGAATCTTTCTATGTAGGATCTAACTTTTCATCATTGTTTTCACTGATGGAAATGATGAATACATGTACTACATCTCTACTTCAGTTGTCAGATGAGTTCCCAGTGTCTCAGTATAGAAAGGTTATCATATAGAAGTTTTGCAAAGTTAAAACTATTTAGTGGCGTTTCAAATGAAAATGGTCTAAGGGTATCTCAGTGAGTCAATCATTTGTTGTTGATGCTAAGAAGAGGCCAACAGTGGGCTCATTTATCACAGGTTGAAAGATGTAAACAAGGCATCTTTGGGTACTTCAGGGAAAGGGTATCATGAACTTGTGGTCTGATGGTTGTGAAACTGAGCATTCAGTGCTGTGGGATGTCATTCTGTATGCTGTGAATATGTGGTGCTCTGATTGGTTGATAAATAAAGCACTGATTGGCCAGTCGCCAGGCAGGAAGTATAGGCAGGGTAAGCAGATGAGGAGAATTCTGGAAAGAGGAAGGGCTGAGTCAGGAGTCACCAGCCAGCCAGACACAGAGGAAGCAAGATGACAAGCAGAACTGAGAAAAGGTACCAAGCCACATGGCTAAACATGAATAAGAATTATGGGTTAATTTAAGTGTAAGAGCTAGTCAGTAATAAGCCTGAGCTAATGGCCATACAGTTTGTAATTAATATAAGCCTGTGTGTTTATTTGGCTCTGAGTGGCTACAGGGGCCTGGTGGGACCGCAGAAACCATTGGCACCCACCATGTTTAAGAGAATATGGGACAAGTGTGCAGAGATTTTTGACTTCTTCATCAGCATAAGTGGAATCAACTAGACTCATTTTGTGTGTGTGTGTGTGTGTGTGTGTGTGTGTGCGCGCGCGTGCGTGTGTGCGTGCGCGTGCGTGTGTGCGTGCGCATGCACAATAGTAATTCCACCTTTTGAAGAACTGGGCAAATGGTTACTACCTCCCAGGTACTGTGCAGGGTCTGCACACACTTGGCACACAGGATATTCTTATTAAGAGGTTGTAATTACTGAAATAGGAGTTTAGGATGTTTGGGTTGGAGAAAAGAAGACCATGGAAAGAAATGATGTTAATATTTGTATATAAATAAGGCAATTATCTTGTAGCAGAGGACAACAATAATTAGTTATTAACAGGAGGGTAGCCTGCAGCTTATTTTAAGAAGCAACTGTGAGTAGAATTGGAAAGTGGTAAACCAGATTGTTTTGTGAGAGAGACCCTTGTCACTAAATAATTTCAAATCTGAAGTCACTCCCTCTCCCACCCTGCCAATGTTTTGAAGAGGTTTGATCATTGAAAGGCAGATTTCATCATGCCATTTATAAGGTCTCCTCCAAGTTAACAACCTATGATTCTAATTATTGATTAGGTCAACATAGAATTTCTTCTTTCCCACAAACATTAAAGCTCCAGATTCATAGTCACCAAGGTACCACAAAAGCAAGTAAGAAGTACATAAGAAATACAAGGAGTCTGCAGGGCTCAGAGAATAAACAGGATGCTCTCCTGGATCTGGCCATTTCCTAGAGATATTAGAGAAGATTCGGAAAGAGGAATGTACAGCAGAAACAGTATAATCCTTTGTGACGTGCAGCGGTTCATATTGTGTATGCCGGGGTTCATGTTATGTGTGTAGGGAATACTAGAGTAAGTTATCCAGAACCAATGGGATAACTTCCCCAATGAGAACTTGTAAAGAAAGTGGACATTCCAGAAATACAGGATGTCTTTGTTGGGGTAATCATTGTCCTAAGTTATTGGCTGTTCAGGTTTCTTGACTGAATATAAATCACTATATTCCTCCTATTTTCACTTACAAACTCTTCATGAAGATAATGCATTAAGGCCACCCTGATGAAAATTCAATCTGGTGGCAGTAAATTGACATTTGATCACTCACAAGCTAGTGTGGTGATATTTAGTTTGTGCTCTAACAAATAAAGCTTGCCTGGAGATCAGAGTGGGGAGCTAGCCATTAGTTAGCCATAGAAGCCAGGCAGTGTTGGCACACACCTATAATTCCAGCACTTGGGAGGAGGAAACAGGAAGATCAGGAGTTCAAGGCCACCCTGAGCTACACGAGATCGATCCAGTCTAAAAGAGAAACAGCCAGATGTTGGAGGCACATGCCTTTAATCTCAGCACTTGGGATCTCATGCCTTTAGTCTCAGCACTTGGGATCTCATGCTTTTAATCCCAGCACTAAGGCAGGTCGAGACAGGAAGTGATAGGGCTGTGTGGAGAGAGGAATATAAGGCGGGAGGAGAAAGGAGCTCACCCCCTTTTCAGTCTGAGAATTCAGTAGAGGTAAGAAGTCTCTCTACTGGCTGGCTCCCTTACTTCTCTGATCTTTCAGCATTTACTCCTATATCTGACTCTGGGTTTTTGTTATTAAGACCAATTAGAATTCACGCTACAACTAATTCTCATCCACTGGCTGACATACTTCTGTGGACCATGTTACCTTAAATATATTGGCTAGTCAAGTCTGGCTCATGTATTTATTTGTTGTATTTCAATTTTGAGCTTGTCAGGTCAAGTGGCAGATCAGAGCACTGCTTAAGGCAAGTGTAATAGACATACCAAGTTTTGATTAATTATCTAATCTTCCAACTATACACCACCCCTTGTCTGCCCTTGGAAGAACTTACTGTCTGTTACTTTCAAAGTGCGAGAACTACTTGTGAATATGATATGTTAGCCAAGCATACCTAAAGAGAAGGCTGGTGTTGAATCTCACTTCATTTACTAGACAATCTGCTGAGTAGTTTTCTCTCTGTTTCCTCTGTTCTTTAATTTCTTTGCTTCAACATCATTTACTCCCAGTTTGGTGCTGGCAATTCAATGTTTGTGTCAATTCAACATTTTCTGTCCACTCAGGAGCAGAGGCTCTTAGCTCTCGATGGGAGTTGGCTCTTACAGCCTCATTCTAGAAGCAGCTTTTAGTCTCATGATTTTCCCCATGAGGCACCTGCATCTTTAGCTCCTCAGTACTGTTAATGACTCTAAAAATATATGAAGCTTAAATGAGCCCCCAAAGTAGCACTTTTTTTGTACTACCTGTTGACTGAAAAAGTGCTAATATGCTTTGCTTGAGGAGAGATGGCCAACTAAGGAGGAAAAAGGAACAATTTCCTCTCATTGACCAAGACCTTGAATGGTTTATGAGGCAATATGTATGAAACACACAGGACAAGCAGCAAGGAAATTTTCCATATGATTACTTTACAAGAGAGAACAATAAAAGAACAGAGCATGAATGATATAGCATTCCAAACATAATTCTGATACTGCTTTTGAAGGTAAAGTTTTATGTGTGCATGCCAGAGTATGTGTATACATCAAACTGTGTTTGAATCTGATGTGCAGGGACTTAGAAGCCACAGCCATAGTGTCTAACTCTGGACAAGTGGTATTAACCAAAGGATAAACAAAGATGCTATAACGGGCAAACGGGTAAGTGCTGGCACCCACGGCAGTGAGGGCATAAACACACAAATGGAATTTTCCTTTTCATGTTCTTCCTATTGATTTGTGCAGCCCTGTTTATAGAAGTCACCAGAATGGAGCTCTCGGGGCAGTGGAAGGCGCAGAGACACAACAGAGACGCTCCTTCCTTTCATGTCCTGTGCCTGCTGTCAAGCAGTGAGCTGTCATCCATCACCCCACTCTCATTTCACTTTAACCCCTCCTGCCTTCTTCATGCTGTATGTGCTCTTTGTTCTAAACCAAATCACATTGTCTGTCCCCTTCATATTTTTCTCACTTCTTCTGGACTCCCTGTCGACACATTCTGGATTTGACATTGTCATTGATCCTGTGGTCCTTGCTGTTTACTTCACTGGTCCATTGTGTGTTCATGTTCTCCCCTGTCTGCCCCAAAGCTAAGGATCGTGCAGTGGACTGAGTATTCTAGAATTCTTAGAGCCACACATTACACATCAGAGCTTGAGGAACCAAGCTTGAGCCCAGGTCCCTGCTGTCCGTTCTTTGGGTCATGACCTTTAGTCGTGTTACACAAATCTGTCTCTAACTCTTATGATGTAGTCATTTGCATCCAAAGGCCATACCTTTCAAAGCAGCCTCAGAAGTTTCAGTGAGGTTTTCATCTTCCAGAGTGTTAAAGGGTAAAGTGAGGCACAATATACATGTTTTTTTGTTGTTGTTGTTTTGAGGAGTTTTTGAGTTTCAGGAAATTTTCTAGCAAACACAGATTCAGGAATTGGGCAGCTCCAAAATAGGAACTGGCTCAGAGGCTCCACTGAGGTAAGGCAAGGACAAGATTTTTACAGGGTGAGCACAGGAATAATGCAGATAATGCATTGCGTTTGATTAGCTACATAGTTACTTTGTATGTCTGTCCTGCTGCAAAGTCCCTACTTAGATAGATGTAGTTAGTAGATGGTTGTCTCACCTGCCTTAAGTTTCATTTTTCATACTATCCATATATAAGAAAGCTCAAGGGAAGTTTCACTTATATTTGTAAATCAAGCAGCTCAGATCACATGAGAGGCCCAGCTGGCTATGGATTCTCTAGAATCAGTATTTGGGTTTATTTTTCAAAGCTAATTGACCAAGTTACAATTTCCTTGCCATGCTTTAAAATCATGAATTTTAAATTTATACCAAGAGACCAAGTATTGTTTTTCCAACATGTTAAGAAATGCATGTCAGGGCCCAGAAGAGTGCTCAGTGGGTTAACACACTTGCCTACTGACCTGAGTTCAATTCTGGGCCTTATGATAGGAGGAGAGGAGAGACCTAACTCCTGAAACCTGTCCTCCAACCACCACACAAACATGCAAGCTAGACATGGTGGGACACAATTACAGTCCCAGTGCTTGGGAGGATAGCGAGCCTGAGGCTAGCCTGAGTTATATAAGGAGACCCTGTCCCCCAAAACACCACTAACAAAGAGCAAAAGTCAATGCTACATGTACACTTGAAAGCTCACCCAAGGTACTAGACTAACTGAGCAGAGAATACAAAACCCACGGGTAATTTTGTTTTGTTTTCATGTGCAATAGATTTTTTTCAATGAATTTAGTGCATGTAAGATTAAGAATGTAGACTGTTGCTAGGACAGTTATCAACTGATGGAAGTAAATTTCTTCAGCATGACATGTATTCCCTAGGCTGTAAGATGAATGGCTAGGGTGGCCGGGATCTCTAGAAGAACTTGCCTATAGATTTTTCCATACATTTTTGCTTCCTGTGTTAAATGTGCCAGCATTCGATGTTAATATTTGCTCTTTTTGAGTCTGAAAGCAGATTATTGTTTTTGTTTCCTTTTGGCCATGGGGCCTTTAATTTCAATCCTTTTATGTTTCATAGACACAGTGATAAAATATACAATAAAATCTGATGCCAAGGTCTTCTACTCTTTTTGTGAATGTGGTGAGCATTACACGTGACACATAGTTGCCTCTTGTATGGCTTCATCTCCATGGAATACAACAGACTATTCTTTTCTGGGATTTGCATCCTCATGTGCCCCACCTTTCTCAGGACTCCCCGGGTTGCAGCCCTGTTATGAAGAAGACAGAGGATCAGGTAAGCAATTGCAGAGGTTATCAAACCCAAGCACTAGCCAGCACCAGGCACCAGGAGCTGGAGGTCTTGAGGGCAGGACAGTGCTGACATTGCTCAGAACATGTTCTACTGCTTCTAAAGGTTCAGAGCAGGAAAAGAACCTTTGGATACACAGATGAAATAGCCGACACATGGTTGGTATGTTACTTACCTGGACATTGCCTGCTTAGAGCTGTAATGACATCCTTGGAATTTCAAGTGTAGGATAACTTTTATGCTGTTACTGGAGAGTCTTAGCAGTTCCTCCAAGACAAATAAAGCACAGGCTGTCATTGAAACCACTTTGTGACTTTCAGGAGTAACTTTCCAAAGTAAGCAGACCATAAAATGTACCATCTGTCATCAGCAAAATCATAAATTAAAAGTTTGCCATCCCTCGCTGTCCATTTGAGCAGCAATTGTCCTTCTCTAATGTCTGTGGCCCCGGCTGTGCCGACAAGCAACAGTCTGAATGTAAAGGGTGCCTCTCTCAACCCACATCCCCAGACCTACCCAGCCTGTTTCAGCTCAGAGCCATCGTTCCATTGAATCTGTCTGCTGTTGCTCCTGGTGTCCCCTCCTGTGAATTGTTTTCAATGGACTGGACAGTGACCACATTCTGAGTTCCAAGGTGACAGAATGATAATTGTTTGCTGTGTTCGTGCTCCTCCAGAAATTCCACACACACACACACACACACACACACACACACACACACACACACAAAACTCCTTCCACACTGGGAAATCTCCAAAGAACGAATTTTAAGTAGTAACAGGCCCAGGACTGTAGCAGCCAAGGTGAGCTGACCTGCAGAGACCAGGGGTTTGTGTTTGTGCTTCTCTAACTTAGACCTTTCTAGCACACTGTCTCCATCATGACAATTAAGGGTTTCTCAATCCTTTGAAAGATGTCACAGTTAGGAGCTAGAAGATCTGCTTTATTTTAACTTTCCCAAAAGAAGAAATAGTGTTACCGTACCAATCTAAGCAACAGCACAGAGCGACCTCCTCTCATTATTCTTGATGATGACTTTATTAGGGAGTAAGCAGAAACACTGCTGTGTGTGGGTGCATGCCAGAGCAGACTACGAGCATGGCCAGGAAGGTTGGGGAAATTGGAAACTTCTAGAGTTAAAGAGAGGATTGAGTACAATTTGTTCTGAGACAAGGAGAACAATTGGTTTCAGGGGCTCATTGCAGGAGTTGATATCAATTCATTAGGGAGACAGTACCCGGGATTATCTCAAACTTGAAGTTTGCTGGCCTCGAGTCTCATGCAGCAAGCTGCACCTTGGAAAGCTCTTGGCAAAAGTTTGGTTGCAGGACCAAATGGTTTTTTTTTGTTGTTGTTGTTGTTTTTTTTTTTTTTTTTTTTTTTTTTTTTTGTAGACAAATGTGTAGGGGCCCCTTCTCCTCAGCCTCCTGGCTTTATTCAATTTATTTATTATTAGGGTTGATATAAGTGAGTTATTTTTTATCTTAACAAATTCAGTGACTAAAGGACATTTTTCTTTTGTTGTATGAGAGTATGAGAAGAGGTAGGACCCTTGCTCTCCTCTGTCCGTTCTCCTCATTTCCTTCCTTCCATATACAGTTGCTCTAAGTTATTTGACTTCTGGAGATTCTCCTGTGGAGTCAGTGCCATTAGATACAGTGTGATTTTCAGCAAAATATGTCCACTAATTATTTAATTCAAAGGTTATAATTGAACTTAATAAGGAAAGCCCTCTTCATGGGAAAAAACATTATTTTATGTATGCAGGGTATTGTAAGCTATTCTCCTGCATCAGGTCAGAATTTCCATTCATTTTATTGGGAAGATTCAATAGAAAATTTAGATTCATAGGAGCCAGCTGAAAGCCCAAACAGAACTATTCAAATGTGTGCAATTTATATTATATTTATTCTTTACAGAAACCAAATTTAGTTAAAATGAGTTATCCGAAATGGTCCAATGTGCCCACATGTCTAAAATATTTTTCTTGAATATGACAGAAGAATCCTACAGGAGACCATCAAATGTGTGTGGTAATATCACACAGCAGGCATAAAAACAGTCATAAATTCCCAAGAAGAACAAACCATTTTGTTTCCTAGAAAGTCTTAAAACAGTACACATCCATTATGAGAACTTTATCTTGGCCTCAAAACAGAATAAACTTTTTATGATTATTCAATATGGCTTCCATGAATAAACATTTTATTGTTTATAATCCTTTGGGTAAATATAAAATAATCAGCATATTTCCATCCAATATGCTTTAATGAAATTTCTCTCTGCAAGTTCATATACCTGGAGGGCCTTTTATTTACATTAAAATTTTTGTAGATAGTGTTAGTAGTTTGAGGTAGGAAAATGTATGTTGTATTTTTTTACTTAACTGCAGGGAACACTATGGTGCCATCTCCACACCAACTTTCTCATTTTACAGAAATAAAAAGAAGCCAGGTAAACTGTCTGTCAGAAATACCAATTCCTAGCTCACGACACACTAAGTTCAACAAACATTTGCTGAGTACTTAACTTGTTTTTTTTTCAAAGTAATTGAAAAATGTTGTCAGCCATTTAAAGAGCTTATAACCTTGGGGTGTGCAAATGCAAAAAGAGAAAATTTTAGCAAAATGGGTTAAATGTGACGAGAGTGATGAGAATGGAGTATAGAGTGGGAATAATTTATTCATTCAACAAGTGCTGTGATGTTTCCTTCACATGTGTTGAGTGAGCCTCTACTATGTACATGCCAGGTAGTGAGTGCTGGTAATTAAACTGAGGAGCCAACATTCGGGAGACTGATGTGAACTTGTCACTTAAGAAATGATAGCGAAGGAAGCAGGAGTGGAGACCTCTTGTCTATTCACTTTGACAAGCCACAAGTTGAAGGATGAGGCTCAGGCACTTTATCAAGGAAGAGTTTGGATTGAAGTTTTGTTTTCTGTTGCTGTTTTTGTACAGGTTTTTTCCCCCCCTGTAGCCCAGGCTAGTTCTGGCCTTTGGACTTACAACCCCCCTGCTTAGTTTCTGGAGTTCTGAGATTACATTCATGTATCACAACACCCAGCTTTTTTTTTTTAACTCTTATTTCCTTCTAGTTAGCACAGTTTGTGCAGAAAGGGAACTCTGGAGGTTTGGGGTGTCATGGCCAGAAATGACATCAAAGTTCACCCTCAGTCATGCTGTCATCACTACTGCCTGCCACAGACACCACGAAGAGCTCTGCTGTCACTGGGTGCTGCAGCCAGCCAGAAGACACCTAACCCTCTGCCTCTGGACCAGCATATCTCTGGCTGCCTCATGGAGATGTGTTGGTGAGAAGCCCACTGGTTCACATAACTGCCTTGCAAAACTGAACCAAAACAGAATAGGAAGGAGGACACATAAGCTTACAGTTTAGGGCCCCTCACTTGCATGGGCTCCTTTCAGAATGCGGGCTTTTTGTTTTATTCACAAGTTTTGTAAAATTTGAAAAAGCAAGCATTTCAAATACAAACAACCAAGACATTGTTTGTCTGTTTAGTTCCATTTCCTCTCATTATAACTTCTGTCTATGTCAGATGCTTTTGAAGAGGACCCGGGGCCTTTTTGAAGTCCTCTTAAAAGAAAATGGAGTTAGGATAATTAATTTATGTAGAACAGGATATGTAGTTTTCAGGTACTTTGAGCAGAATTAAATGACTAACAGTATTTTAGTATAGTTTGAGAGTAGCTTGGGAGCTACAGTGATTTTTTTTTTTTGGCCAGCTTAGGCAAGAGTTTCAGACTATTTAAACAAAACCTCCACTAAAATAGGCCTTGAATAAAGTTGCCATTATAGATTGAAAATTGTCCATTAACAAAGTCTGGAACACAAGAAACATGCCACTGGGAAACACACACACACACACACAAGCAGAACACAAGAATGTACCATACAAGGCTATCTTTTAGAGCACACTCTCAGCTCTTCCTTTGGAATTGGTTACCAATATCGCTCCTAGCTTAGGTTCACTCATTTCTGTTTGATGTTTAAATTTCACTACAGGACCACTCTCACTGCCACCTTCTTATTTTTATATTTCCAAAGTCTCAAGAAACAGAGGAAACCGAAACTAAAGAACAAAACACCCACCCAACAAATACAGTAGCAGAAATCAGCACCCAGACCTATAATCATCCCAATCTCAGATTCCTAGACGCCAGCATAAAAACACAGGCAATAAGAACCAGGACAATGTGTCTCCACTAGAGCCCAGCAACCTTACCACACAGGCCCTGAATATTCCAACATAGCTGAAGCACAAGAAAATGATCTTAAAACTGTCTTTATGAAGATGATAGAGGTCCTTAAAAAGGAAATTAATAAATCCCTTAAAGAAATCCAGGAAAATGCAAGCAAATGGTGAGAGGAATGAATAAAACTGTTCAAGATCTGAAAAAGGAAATAGAATCAATATAGGAAACCAAAACTGGGAATTCTGGAAATAAAATATCAGAAATTCAAACAAGAACTATAGAGGCAAGCTTCACTAACAGAATACAAGAGATGGAAGAGAGACTCTAAGGTGTTGAAGATATAGTAGAAGAAATGGATACATCCATCAAAGAAAATGTTAAATCTAAAAATCTGATATAAAACATCCAGCAAATCTGGAACAATACAAAGGAAAACAAATCTAAGAATAATAAGAAAAGAAGAAGGAGAATAAAGTCAGTTCAAAGGCCCAGAATATTTTCAACAAAATCATAGAAGAAAATTTCCCTAACCTAAAGAAGGAAATACCTATAAAGGTACAAGAAGTATATAGAACACTAAATAGATTGGACC